ATATTATATTAACATTACAAAAATGGAGGTGCTACACGGATGTCAGCTCCAGCATCGCACTTTTTTAAAATCTCGTGAAAATGATTCAACAATAGGCTTTTTCAATAGTTCTCGAGAAGTTCTACAGTTCCTGATAGGTTTCAACAATCGTTCTGCTACGCAACATCGGTAAAATATGTATTAAATATGCTTGTGGCATCATACGCTTCAGTGCAGGCAGACACGAGTTGCTTGCTTTTGTCATATTAAACTTACCGAGCTTACACTGTGCGATCGAATTTAGGATTGCAAAGAAAAAAAGTATTTAGGCTATATCCGATGAGTTGTCTCGTTCCAAGTGTTGCTTTGGGAACCAGCGATAAGTAGCGGAGGACTCTGCCCGCCAGGCTACCCGCTCGTGATCACGTTCAGCTCGGCTACGACGGGATATGCATTATCGACGGACGGGATAATCACAAAATTCTATTCCCGGACTCGCCGCTACGATTTAGCGCCATGTTTTCGGTATCGCCTAAAACCGTAGCGTTGTGCATCTCCCTACTGATCTCTGATATTATGTATGTACCGACTGATCATATTGTAATAATCTGTGTTATGCTGTCGGTTGTGCATAGCTGTCTTTCAATGCAACGTGTGGAAATTACTGGTGAATACTTGTGTCAAGGAAAATATTGCTGGTATAAATAGAATTAGTTTTCTACATTGAGCTTATTATATGCTGTGATAAGTAATTATATTTTTTTATTTTTATTGATAGACTCATTTCACGCTGCTGTCAAAACAAGCACGTGTTGATGATGTATCATAACCTCTCTAACTTTATTAACAAGAGTGTTTACCTCTTATTTTTAGAAATGAGTAGCCAGAAAGGTAATACGAGTCGTTCGAGGCCTCAGAAATATCAAAATCGTCATGTTTTCAAAAATGATTTACATGACAAGAGCCACAAGACTAAATTTATCAATAGTTTGCACATTGCTAATGTTTGTGAGCGGTGTAAAAGAATTATAGAATGGAAGATCAAATATAAGAAGTATAAACCGTTGAAAGCTCCAACAAAATGTACAAAATGTGATCAGAAGTGTGTCAAACACGCATACCACATAATGTGTGGTCCTTGCGCTGGAAAAGATCAAGTCTGTCCAAAGTGTGGAACTAAAGGAGAGATTGTTATTGGTCAACCTACACCGCAGGAACAAATTAAACTTGATTCGGAACTTCAAGCATTGTTAAAATCATTGCCAGAACGGAAAAAAAGGACTTTCCTACGTTACATGAATAAAAGCAGTAAGTGGATTAGTGTCCTATACATTGTATTGATATTTTCACATTTTTTCATTCGTTACAATTTTGGATGTGCTTACAGATAAAGTTAAAAAAGATAAATCTAAGACTAATGAAAACAAAAATGACTTATCTCCTGAAAAACAAGAGCAAGATAATAAAGAGGAGTCAGTGCACGAACCAGTTACACGACAAGAATTATTAGATAAGTTAAATTCTCTGATTATTAAAGATGAATTTGATGACGATTTAGACAGCGATTCTGAAAATGACGATTTTGATTCTGAAGATTAATATCTCACTTTCCAAGTATCAAAAAATAAACTACAGAAGCACCAATTCTTATTTACGTTCCTTCCCCCTATCGTTACATTACTGATCTATGGTAGTCCGTTGTTTTCAGGATAAGTGTGGTCGGCTGATGCTGAAGTAGAGAATCTGAGTAAACTCATCCTATGAGATCTGCTTTGCCAACCGTTGTTAATCGCCGTAATAGCCGAGGGTGCTGAACTAACCTGTGGCAAACTACGTTTTAAAAATTAACCGCGCTTTCGCGAGCACTGCCAGCCGAGTTATTACAAATTTTTAGATGTTATTCCCAGTGAATCAACAGTAGGAAGCAGTGGCTACGCGTGCGTCGCGGGAAACGGAAAATTCCTATGAAAACGTAATTTCCCGGGTAATTTCGCGTGGGTGCCCCGGAACCGGATGAAATTGCATTTGTTAACAGGACGTAGGGGTTCATGGATAAAGAGTGAATGAGCGAGTGACTAAAAAAGAGATAGTGGCATAGACAGAAAAGAGGGTGAAAAAAAAAGTAATTTCATCCTCACAATGGAAAATCCATAAGAATACTTTGCATGAATTGGGAAGAGTATAAGCTTTTTCAGTGTGTTTCTTGGGGGGTTGCCAACTATGCCACCCCCAGCACACTCTCGTCCCCGTCATCTCTATCGCTCCTCAGCGTCATCCCTGTAAAAATGTATTTATATACAAACCCACATTGTCCCCGCGCTGTGTCTCTCGCACAACTCTAATCTTCTTGAGTGCGTTATCACAATGGTTGGCTGGCGTCTTTTTCCCCCTCCTTCTATTTATCTTGTCTTTCGCGTCCTTTTCCGTCGCCTCCTCTTTCACTATCTTTCATCCTGGCACGAAGGAACCCTGGTTTTAGACTCGTTATTTGTTTTCTTCGGGGTGAGACTCATCATTTCCCGTCAACGAGGGGCAACCATCGTCATTTTTCTGCCTCGGAAGAGCCGCCACGAATAAGAATGATTCGCGGACAATTTTACATTTGCGTGGTCGCCTACGCATGCGCAAGCATGCGAGTAAGTCTCCAGCGTCGGAGCATGGGGTCAGAGGGAGAAGGAGAAAAGAGGATAAAAATTAGGGGAACGTTGGGCAAAGCCTTAGACATTCTAGGGATGTTTTCTATTTGGAGAAAAAATGTGAATGTCTCCTGCTCCCTCTCTCTTCCTCTCACTCACACGCGCCTTCGTGTATTCTTGCTTGGCTGTATTCTGTACTTTGCTTACCTATGTATATCTATATCGGTATTTGATAATCTACCATCTAGATATCCGATTACGTTACGAGGAATCACTTAAGGATAGGAAGTTCAGTGGATGCCCAGAAAAGAGGACTTCCGTTTCCTGGTAATCCAGTAATCGGACTACCCTTTCCGGAAGTCGAAATGAGCAACGTTGATGCGCATGATTAGAGTCACGACCGCGTTTCATTTGGAAAAGTGAAATGCTGCGCCTACTAGGAATTTGTGACATTCAGTTCGCAGGAAAGTGCACTCGCTGGATTGGAATTGAAGGAGCGACTGAGAATAAAAACTAGAGAGAGAGATAGAGAGAGAGATAATACATGAGGAATGGTAGGCTAATTGTGGTAAATTGGTCAATTTCTTTAGTGGGAGAAGTATCCAGTTAATAATTGGTAGTTGCTGGTTGCTGCACCATTAATAGTCGTTAGTGTATCGTTCATAGTGGAGAAACGAGCGACAGATGATTTGCCTGAATTTCGCTGAATGCCTGTTTAACGGGAAATCGATGAGACGTCATTCAGCCACGATGGTGGAAACGGGGAATAAAATAATGAGCGACTCGTAGAAGGACGCGTCAGAGAAATGTAAATGAGCCCCCATTAAATCATTATCCAGCGAGGTTAACATTTTTTATACACTTTATGAAATTTCGTGGAACGTGTTTCTGGCTGATTTGCATTTTTAATTAGCACCGACTCCGAAGAATTCCAAAAAAAATAAATAAAATCGTCGAATAAACAGAAAAACATGCAGCAACCTCTATTATGCCGTTTCCCAGTCGTACGTAAAATATGCTCAATGAATTCACCAAGTATTTCAAGATGCTCAGGTAAGATGGTGAAATCCCAGTTTGGAGAGTGCAAATAAAATGTAGCTTTACAAATGACGCCGGGTGTAATTGTATGGGGGAAATTACAAATAAGGAAAGAATCAAATTGCCGAACCGTTCCGGTATTTATTCGGCGATATAAATTATCCTCTATCGTCCAAAAGGATGACAGGTCAACATTACATTTTGGCGTAATGGCGATATTAATAATGACGACAGGACTGGGACTGGTTATACAAGGAAGCCTCGAAAACGTAACGTAACCGAGGACCCTACTCTATCCCTGATTTATATTAATGGTACTGCAGCCTAAATAGCTAATATCGTTAATATAAATTTGCAAAATCCTGTTGTTTATGCGGATTATACTACGCTCCTATTTTTCCCGGATATACGGTAAACGAATTCCTAGCGATCCACTTAAGAAATGCTTAGAATATTCATAAGGATAGTAACAACTCACTACACCCACGTCAAAATATCTATCAAAGGACTTACGTAACCAATAACTCGAAGGAAAGGTCGTCGAACGATGAACGAACGTCAAACCTCAAACGTGCTAACGTCCACGGGAATGAACGGGAATCGATGGTCCGTCAACTAGCGCCATCTCCCTGTTAAAATGTTCACTTCGAGAAACCGTTAAGCAACTCAAGTAACATTTCTGCTGCGCCGTTGTGACGCGTGAGAATCGAAGCATCGATAAAACAGTGAATAATGCATTTATTGTCTTTGTTTTATCTCGGCGCCTCAAATGCAATTGCATAAATGGCCTGTGCATTAAAAGTGCAAAGTGCAGTAGTATCTTGGAAGAATTTGCGGCGGTACGTGTAGCAGCAAGTGAGCGTGACTAACGAGGGAATTGGACGATTAAGGGCTCGAGTAAAATTCAATTCTCTAGCAAATACCTGGGATTCCATGTTGGGCTTGAGAGGACATTCAGCTTACATAAAGTAACATGGAATTGTAGATACCCTACTCTGCTGTTGCAGTACGAGCTGACTACTTATATTCATTTATTTTCTTTTCTTTTTCTTTTATTTCACCTTCCCTTTTACCATTGTTCCTGGACTGTGTGTTTTTTATTTTCTCCCTTTTCATTTTACTCTCGATCTATGTCTTTTTCGCTCTCACGCTCACACAATACATGGCCATGGCCGATAGGGACTTTTCTCGCTTGGCTTTTACGCAACTTGTCAACCCGGCCCACTTAACGGAGCGAATAACATTCCACTTAATGTTTTAACCGAGTTGGGCGACCAGAGCTCAGCCACTCTGGGATTCACATTTTTTTCATTCTCTTTTTCCGACATTTTCTTGTTCCTTTTTTTTTAAACTTCACTCTGATTCTTCTCTTTTTCATTCCTCGAGCAGGGAGTGTGACACGACTGGACACTTTTTTTATTCCTCCACTCCGTCCATACATAATGTATGATGCATATGATATATGAATATGTATATGTAATACAGTGTATAGAGGTAACTGCGCTCTCAGTCCCCAGTTGTCTATATAAATCGTGCCGAGAGGACATTAGCTACTTCGCAATAGCTGGAGGCTTTATTATCTGCGAAAAGCGGGAAGCAGAAAGGATGGCAATTTCCCGTGGAATACCCCGCAGAAAGTCGTCTTATAATTAAAATGGGATCCTCGAAAAAATCAGTCAGCTCCGCGACTACCGCCACCCCCTACCTCCCACCTCAACCGAAGGGTGGAATCCTCAGCCCTGCGCCACCAAGGTATTTTTATGCGCCTCGTATTCTTCTATTTACTTTTATTTCTTTTTCTTTTTATAACTTATCCTTATACCCCTTATTATCCATCGACGAGCCTTTTATCTTTAATTTTGTTTTTTCTTTTTTTCTTTTTGCCTTGGCGTCGGTATTTATCTCGCTTACCGCCATTAGGCTGCTTTTATGCGCCCAGTTAAACCAGTATAACAATTTTTGGAGGGAGGATCATTGTCTTGTCACTTTTCCTTTTTCCTTTTTTCATCTTATTTCAGGCATACATATTTGATGCACCGATAAACTTGACAGGTTTACACGAAATACAAATAACGCAGGGCATTAAAGATTTGTCAGAGTTTCCAGTGGACCAATCAGATCGCGTCGTACAAGTTGAAAAATCTGTAGCCAGAGCAAGTTCCCCCTAAGAGGTAGCAAATAATGTCGAACTTTGGAATCGATCAGTCGGTTAGCCATTTTCCATCCGTCCCGTAGATAAGTGTGTGGACTCTTATCAGATATCGGAAAAGATCCAACACAAGGGCAGCCTGATAAAGTGCAAATCTACTTAACGAGCAGTTGGCAATACGAGGACAGTGAGGACAGTGAGGCGCACGCACACAGGTGCGAAGAAGAGAAGGACAGTAGAGGCGCGTTTCCACGAGCGAAGCAGCATTGGCCTGGTGGTCTCGGTCGCTCGTGTCGCGTCAATGTTTATTCGTGGGTTTCGCCGCTCGGGGAGAAATCGGGGAGAATCAGCATCAGGACTGGCCAGTGGGAAGAGCGGCGACGCCGCAGCATCCCAGTCGCCTCCGCCTCTGTTTTTGTTGGCTCGTTATCCGAGATTCAGACAGGTGTGTGGCAGGGTGCCTCCCGCACCCTCGTCGCTTCCCGACTCCCCGACTCCCCGACTCCCCGAGTCCCCGACTCCTCTAAAGCCCCGTCCACAATAGGACCCAACGACTTTTCGCTGCTCCCCAGAGAACGAGAGAGACAGAGACAGAGACAGAGAAAGCCTCTACCTTTTTATCAAAAGCGATTTAACAGGCTTTACTCCTGCTCAACTTGGCTCCACTCCGTGTCATTGCTTTTTCTCTAGGCTTTCCCTTTTCTCCTGCCCCCCTTTTCCTCCTTTTCCTTCCTCCCTCTTTTTTCACTCTTATTCTCTTATTCGGCAGATCAGCCGACACTGGTGAGCGGCGTCGGATGTATCGGGTAATCTCGAAGTGG